ATGCTCCTGCCGCCCGGGCAGCTCCTGTCGCCCGGGCCGCCCCTGTCGCCCGGGCCGCCCCTGTCGCCCGGGCCACCCCTGTCGCCCGGGCCGCTCCCGCCGCCTGGGCAACCCCAGCCTCTGGAGCCCGACCCAAGATCAGTTTCCTTAGACCCCCCAGCCCCGAGATCCAGGCTGCCGATCCGCCTACTCCGCAGCCTCCTCGCGCATATGCCTGGCGGGGCAGGTCTGAGCGCAGCTGCTACCGCGGCGACGACGACGACGACGAAATATCGGTCAGCAGCGACAGCGGAGACGAATCCGACGATGGGACCTTCGGATGCCACCGCTGGTTTCAGTCCAGGCGAAACCGCCGCCGCCGAAAGACCCGGCGCAACTTGCTCCGCAACTTCCTCGTTCAGGCCTTCAGAGGCTGCTTCTGCCGATCCGAGAGCCCCCAGTCCAGAGGCTCCCTCAGCCCCAAGGTCAAGAAGGTTGCCCTGGCAGAGAAGGGCAGACAGACCCGCAAGGAAAGCATGGAGAAGCGCGTCCAGAAGCGCGCAGAGAAGAAACGCAGCAAGCTCATCGACAAGCAGCTCCAGGACGAGAAGATGGGCTACATGTGTACGCACCGCCTGCTGCTTCTAGGTAATGCGGCGGACTCTGCCCGTGGGGAGCAGGGCCGCCCGGGGGCCCCGGGAGCGGGTGGCAGGGCGGCCCGGTGGGGCTTGGGGCCCGGCGGCGGGAGGAGGGGGTCTGGGCAAAGGCGGGAAGAGCCTGCCAGAAAGTTCCAGCTAGGGGCCCTAACTTTGCCCCGGGAGCGGGAGGGGCCTCGGGTGGGCTTGGGTGGCGAAATGTATGCCCTTCAGGGAGAAAAGTGGTGCCGTACAACACTGAGGGTCGTTTCCAGCTGGACAAACCAGCGCCAGCGACCGTAAGACGTCGCCGAGTCGTGGGGTGGGGGACGGCAAGAAAGGCGGGGGCTTCAGGTGAGCCAGGAACTGCAGGGGAGGGCTCCGGGGTCGCTCAGGCTAGGCTGGCTGGGGCCGTTGGTGGGTTGGGGTCATTGGAGAAGGTGCGTCCCCGCCTCGCCTGGCACGGCTGCTTGGACTAAGACGGCTTGTTGGTGGTGTGTGTTGGTGTCCATATTGTGTCCGCCTGTGCATGATATGCTCAAGCGTTCTCCCATTCCCGCCCCTGGCACCCCCAAATTACCCGCCGACTGTGTACTTGTACCGGGGAACAGGCTGTCTTGTGTTTTGCGCCATTGCGCGGGCAAAAACTTTCCGTGTTCGCACACTCGGGTGGTACCTGTGCGCTGGCGCTGTGCAGTGGGCGGCGCGAAAACGCCCGAGAAGGTAGCGGGAGACGCTGGGCAGGATGTCGGGCCGCTGGCGGGGCGGGGGGAGGGGGCCGCCTCAGGCCGGCCTCCGTAACCTGTTTTCTGTCTGTCTTTCTCTCTTTTCTCCCTTTGCGCTAAGCGTTTCCTCACTTCTCATTCGTTCGCCCAACCCTCCCGCCTTTACGGTTGAAAAACCAGACACTCAGGTATCTGGGGCGTCCGGGGCTGCGTGCAGAAATTCGGTATTCTGCACACACTCTGCTCACCTGGCGGGGGATGGAGGGAGGAGGGGGAGAAAATCCCCCACTTAACCCGCTGTAGGAGAGTCCCGTATCCTAAACCACACGGGGCTGGTTCCGGGGGGGAGGGGCTGGGGAGGTGGGAGGGGGCGTGGCCATGTTTTAAAAATATGAAATCATTTTTCTTCCTAGGGAAGAGCCTGAGGTAAGCCAATCATTTACCCTTTTACAGAATACAGTAGGAGGGGCTTGGTGTAAAGAGAGAGGGGTTATGCGTTGGGAGTGGAATGCCCATCTTGTGTTTGAAATGAAATTAAAATAAAACTTTTTTAAAAATGCTTCCAGTGTATTTTAAGTGTGTGGACAAAATGTGATAAAACTGTGAGACATGTAAATGTTTTCATGTGAATTTTTTCAAGCAGCTTTAGCTGGGGGCAAAGAGGCTCAAAGGTAAGATCCTCTGCATATGGGCTTGGGATACAGAAACATTAAAAAGATGTTAATAATCCCATTGGAAGGGTACCTTTGGTGGCCCTGGCCTTCCCCCTCCTCCTCCCTTCACCTATGCCAGCTTTCAGGGTCCTCTCCCCTCTCCAGGACCTCCCTCCCCCCCCCACACACAGCTTGACTCTTGTGCCACAGCTAATCAAAGCAGCAATTAGCAAAGGTCTGAATGTGGGGCTTAAGTGAAAATTTCAGATGTGAAACTCCACAATCTTAATTTCTTTATTTATTCTCTAAGACCTCTCAAGGGATTTCAAGATCACAACTCTTCAGGCGGTGCTACGTTTGTTTGCTAAATATTTTATAATGTGTGATAGCGTCTATTAATGACCTATGGGCATCACTGTTTGCTGTTGTGATATGTGCCTCTTACGCATCACAGGTTTACATGTGATGGTCATTGTATTTATGCCCACCCAGGGAAATACGGACAACATCATTTCCCCAAAAACATACAGGAGGGAGACAGTTTTACATTTCAGATGCCTCAACTGTGCGGAAGGCACAGCGCCTCAAATGACAACGTGCTGTTTTCCTGCAGACAACTGATTTTGCCACTAGAGCCCCATTTCAATATCCCAAGCATAGCTCTGGGTAGCAAACCTGTGATGGGGGAGGTGGCCATAATTGGGGGCAGACAGGAGAGCCAAGTGACGGTGTGCACTTGAGCCCTAATTGGCCAGTGCCCCTCATATGCCGGGGCCTCAGTTGCCTCATTTGTGAAATGAAGCTTTCAAGCAGATCTTCACTAAATTCTCCTTTGCTCCATGGCCTGAATTCCCTATTCTGAGGGTTGGGGAGCACCATCCACTTAAATCAGGACTGGAGCCTTAAACCATAGGTTATGCACGCATCAACTCTGTAGCAAACAGCCCGTGTCTGGGGCTGAGCCTTAAGAATATTAGAAGTTTCCCTTGCTTACCCATGTTTTATATGCAGGGGGAAAAATTCACCTTAAGTAAAGGAAATTAGCTGGGGTCACCCTGCCATCATCCTGGCCCCGCACCCAGTTCAAGCACTTTTGCATGCAGTGTAGTTCAGTGAAACGTGGGCCCTGTCTAGCATGAACCTGAATTCAGAAAGCCAGATTGCCTGCTGTGGCAGTGTGGCTTGTTGAGCCAGGCTGCAATCTGACAAGGTTTCATTTTGCCAAAGTGACAAGAGAGGCACCCCGCTGGGTCTGAATTACTGATTGCAGAGGGGGAGAGGAGGCAGGATGAAGACCCACTTCCATTTAGGACAAGCCTTTTCACTAACATTTAAATCCTAACATATAAAACAAGACATCCCTATACGCTGAGCACTGAAAAAGGAAGATCAAATGACCATCCTTTGATAATTGGTGACCTACAGATTCATCTGTTGCTTTAAAACTGTATGTGTTTCTGTGTATATACCCTCTCCATTTTTATTGCCCAAACAGCTTAACCACATTACAGGGAATCTTAAAAAGGAAAATGGTAGATAAATAGTTAGAAATAGATAGACAATCAGTAACATGACTGAAATTCTAGAATAGCTAAAAAGTTGAAGCCTTTTTCTTACTCAACACTAGCCAATAATAGACTTATTTCCATGTTTCTGTTGGTTTTCTGAATAATTTTGGTGGCTTAAACATGTTTTGGAAACCTAATTTGGGTGATTCCCTCATTTTTGTTAAGAATTGAAGGGACTGCTAGACTAGAATTTCTTAGTAGCTGCTGAATTTATTAAAATTGTGCAGGCAAATGCTATATATAATAATGGCTATTCTGCCATGACACTTTATTTATACAGTGAATCTCAATTAATTGTATGATAATTTATTTATGCCACCAGATGCAACAGTGAGGCATCCATCTCATCCTGCTGGAGAGCCCTTTTTCTTTGCTTTGCTTTTTTATTTATTTAATTTGAATTCAGCCATTTTTCCGTATTCAAAATGCCTCCACTGAGCTGTTTGGTGCAGTGGGAAGGGCATGGCTTACCAGGCCAAAAATCTCTCCCTTGCCTTTTAAAATCCAATTTCCATAGATTTTTCTCAGAAAACAAAAAATGCCTTGCTATATACAGCTATGTTAATTTTTGTCATTTGCCTACGTTACATATAGCATGGAAAACTGGTATTAAGCCAAAAAATGTGGGGTTTGACACCTTTTTGTACATTCTTCCCACCCCCTTACTCTCCGCACCCCCAGTTTGAGAGGGATAGCCTCACTGCCTTCAGAATTGTTAGTAACCTGTAAGAGTAATGATTACACATAATGATAGCACTTTTTTACTGTATTTTTAAAAGCCTTTCACCCAGTCACATTTGTCCTTTGCAACAGCCTTGGGCAGTAAAAATGTGATGGGACCCCATTTCATAGGCAAGTAAACCAAAAGCTCAGAGATTAAATGTCAGGGACTTTTGCTCAAAGACTGCAAGGTAAGTGAAGGAGTCAGAAGTTTCTAATTCAGTGCTTACCCCCATAATGTGGTAGTAAGTTATAAAGCGTCATTTCAGTGTGAGGCATGATTATTGTTAAGTGCGCTATGTGCTCTTAAAATCCCTTGTCAGATGACAGGTGTCCCGCAGTCTTCTGCCTCCTGAATAATAGCCAGAACCAGACAGATCCTTGGTTATAAATGTCCATTGAGTGTACGTGAAACGTGAGCCTCCTCATTGCTGGGATACCTGTCACTGCTGTGGTGATATTTTGTTTCCACATTTGCTGTCATTCATCTGCCAACACTGCAGTCTTTGTTTGTTTGTTGGACTTCTTTTTTTAAATGCAGGTTTTCTTTAAAGTCTTTTTAAAATCCCCCAGAAGTGTTCTTTAGCAAGGTCTAAAGCTTTTTTCTTTACTCAGGTTTCCACTAAAAAATCATTATCATCATCATTTAAAAATACAGTTGCTTTTATGCATAGCTCCTCAATTATTAGTGTTAGAGTGTAATAGACTGTTTAGAATCTCCTGGCCTGGATCTAATGACCCTATTAAAATAACTCTTACTCAATATTCTTCATAGTGATTATTTCTTAAAAGTATTCCTTCCTTTCAGTCGGGGCTAATTCCTTCTTAGTGAGTGTCAGTACATGATCTTGGAAATCACCTTTGACTTTTATGGGGGAAGGTTGGTATTAAGCAAAAAAAAAAAAAAAAAAAAACTTTTTTAGAGACGGTAACCTAATTGACTAGATTTGAAATTCTCCATCCCAACCCTGTGTCTTCTTTTTAGAGTTAATTTTCCCACCAAATAAAACGTACCCCTCACCCCCAGCAAAACCGTGGCCCTCCAAATCCCTCTCCATTAAGTGACTTTTAGGAGGCATGTAAATAGCAAATGAAAACTGGTCTCTACTGCTTCTTGGTTTCTTTAACCTGTGGCAAAGGCAGGGTTCTTCCCAGACCACGTTGTGCCTCCTAGGGTTTCTAATGGAATGTGAAATTAACATGCCAGTTGTCCATTTCAAAATCGGATTCCTCTGCAAGTGTAGCAATTTTCAAAACAGAAAGGGCAGGGCCAGTTGCTGTGACAGGGTTCCCACAAGCAATTAAAACAGTTAGGTCATTCTAATTAACCCTCTCCAGCTCTGGTGGCCCCCCAGTAAGAGGAGCTCAGACTCTGGCCCTGTTAACACCAACCTCAACAGGTTTCATTGAATTAGACTGAAAGGGTCTTTGTCCCATCAGATTCCTGTTGTGGCCTGTGGTCACCCTGGGCATAAGATCCTCATCTCTTCAGGGAGTGAGAGAAAGATGGGCCTGAGTCTCTCTCTTTGGGATTCTGCTAAAGAGTCAGCAAGTCAAAGTGGCCTTTATAAAACTGAGGAAGGCTAGTGGGAAGCCCCAGATACAAACTGGCCATTGGAGTAGGCCAAGGGAGGGGAGGGGTGTTTGCAGAAGAATCAGAGGAAGATGTGTCCTTTTCCTTAATTCCT